TTCTGCTGATGTTTAGCCTTTCACAATGTGACTCAATCCACAGCAGGCCTTTCACATACTTTTTTTTTTACATTACCTTCCTGAGGCATCAAAACAAATTCCCTCCCCCTCCTTTCTACTGGGTAACTTTATTGAGGTCAGTGGTCTTGTAAACACAATGGACAGTCCAAATTATCAAGGGCAAGGGCTGCTTCTTATGCTCAATGTTTACAACGTCTATGGCTACTATAGCATAGGAAAAAGAAAGTGACAAATGGAAGTTGTGTAAAACAATTAAATGTGAAAACTGAGAGGATAATTTAATTCTATATCTTCCTTTTTGTCTCTGGCAAATCTCACCACTTTGAACACTTTGGGAGTGAACCTTGCTCTGTAGATGCTTCTTGCGTGTGTCTATCTTAGTCTTCATTGTTGTCATTGTTTTGTAGCACCCAGGATAGTGATTATTTTGAGTTCATCTGGTCTTGATGTAAGAATGTAAATTAATGGTCTTTCCTTTGGATTTACTGAGGATTATATCTAAATGGCACAGAATGAGGTGATTTCTGAGCACATTATTCTATATAGATTATTCATTATTCTCTATATATACAGTGCATAGATTTCATATTCATATTAGCTGTAGGTGCTTTGAAATGGCCAGACAGTCATCAGAATACTTTCATGCAAGGCTCAAGTGATTATTCTTATACTGGCTTTGAAATGCAAGACTCGACCCAGTCAGCCAACTGGAAAGAATTGGGAAAACGGAATATCCTTAGTTAATGTGATACAAATAGTTGGTTCAAAGAAGTTTTGATATTAACCAAAGCAATTTGCAGGTTTGAAAGCTCAGATAATTTAAGTTTACTACTGAAGCTGCTAGCAGTTTATTGAGCATGAAAGTGCATTCCATATAGGCAAAGCTGGTAGCTTTAAAGCAAATCTTTTTTTGTTGTTGCTTTTATTCTGCCTTTTTTAATACTACTAATGTATCCTACTTTTCCCCCAACAATTCTGTGAGGTGGATTGGGCTGAGAGAAATCACTGGTCCAAAATCATCTAGACATTTTTTCATGCCATGGCAGGTCTAGAAGTCACAGTCTTCTTGTTTCTGGGCCAACATCTTCAACACTACCCCAAACTGGCTCTTAATGATTATAAAGAAAACAGAGGATTTGGAATTCTTCATTATATGGTTCTTCCTGGTAAAATTAGCAATCAGCCCTAATTTTATTGTAGAACTGCTGGTCTGCTGCTTGGAGATTCCTTTTCTGCACATGTGAACAACTAATGCTAACAGTGTTATTTTTTTAAAAAATCCCTTGAGTCATTTTAAGATATTAATGTGTGAGAGATTAAAATGTTTCCTGGCTCTCACATTCATCCTGGATTCAAGATTGATAAAAGATGTATTTTGTTTTAAAATGAAATTAAGAGAAGCTGATTCACTTACATAAGGATGCTTTGAAGGAAAAAGCAGAAATTCTGTCCCAGAAAGCAGAGAGGAGGAAGAGCATGATGTTCTATTCCAGATTATACTATAGTGCAGATAAGGATGGATTGGTGAGATGCTCTAACCTGGGGAATATGCCCCTTAAAGAATCTTATGCAGTTCAAAACAAGATGGTTAGGTTCTGTTTTTGAATTTTTTTTGTTGCTCTGTAGTGCTGGTTAATACAATGTACATTTATTTCTTTATTTTGTAAGAGATATAGACAATAAATGAACCTTTCAAGAATAATGGATACAATTAAGGATGCAGCAAGATATGTCCATCGTGCTGTTGTTAACTATTGCATGGGGTTTGAGATGGAGTAACAGAGCAAATATCATCTTAAAACATAGCCGTTGCCTCCTTGATAGAACGTTGCACCCAGTGCTTTTTGTTTAGTTTATTTTGTGTCTGTCAGTTTTATGCAAGGGATGCTTTGTAAAGCTTTTAGTCTTTTGCAAATATAAGTAGAGGAAGCCTGAGGGACAGCTGCATTGTGGTTTTAGCTTCACATGCAGACAGCTATAGCTGGATGAAGCAGTTACTTTTGTTCAGGGTTTAATGTTGTTCATTTTCACTTATTTTCATAACAGTTTGCATTTTAGAAGACCATATTTTCCCTAATGCTGGCTAGCTGTGTTTATTTAGTTTCAAGGCAGCTGTTTTTTAAAAATGTGTTGGATTTTGTTTTGTTTGTATTAATGCATGCATTTCTGTACAAATCATTCCACTAATGTAAAGACCACCCCATGCACTCTTTTGGAGAGCTGTATCCTGACATTGAAACAGTGCAGATTTTAATTCTGGAAAATGCAAAATAAAATAAGCTTGTGTTAAATGAATTGCTTCCCTATCTTTACCTAGGAAATATGTCTTTACCTCTTCTGACTGAGTTTTCCAAGCCGTCAAAAAGGGAGGGGGGGAAATGAAAGGTGTCTGAACCTACAATCAAAACATTGTTTGTACACACCAACTGCGGTGTATACATATGGAGTTTCTGGTAACTCTTTAGACTTAGTACTGAGAGAGTCCGAATCCAGCGTTGGCGTGCAGTTGAAGGGTTAATTCCAAAGCAAAGCACTGATTGGAAGGGGAGGGGTCACCCTCTTTCGAATGAATTATCTGGCTGTACAGAGCTTATGTGCTGCTTCAGGATCACAGTACAGAACTCTCCCATGCAAAAGCCCAGCTGCCAAGCTGTGACACTTCCAGACATGGGAAAAGGCTAACCCAGGAATCAGGCAGAAGGGACTCTGCTCACAATTGGCTTGCGTTCAGCTTCAAACACCACCTCCATACACATATCCTTATATACACACACAATTTCTCAAGAAACATACCATGTCGGATGTGGAATGCAGTTTTGATGATGCCTCTTGCCTCTCTCCTCAGAGTCCTGGGTCTCCATCACCTACTCGAAAGCAGAATAAGGAGAACACCTTTACGGTAAGTAGAATCCTGGAGTGATAATCACCAATCCAGTTACTATGGTGATGCAGTCAGCCAGTAGCACTGCAGGCCAGGCTGGAGGGGGGTAAAGACAGGATTTTGTGTGCTGGGGTCTGCCTCATGTTTTCCAGATGTAAACATGGTTCTTCCTCTCCTCAGCGGTAGCTGCAATGAAGCCATATTTAAAAGGCTGAAGCTAACAAAAAGCCTGTTACACAGAGATATAGGAAAGAAAGCAAAAAAGAGGGTGGGAGACCCTTCTGTGTGCTGGGATTTTTAAATTACAGTTGGAGCAGTTTTCGTTCATTCAGTTCAAACAATTTATCACTGGTGAAGTCATCTAAAGAATGGAGTGTTCCTGTGAACAGTGTACACAATGGAAAAAGTTGACACCAAGGTTTCATGAAACCTGTTTTCTACGATGGCTTACCTTTCAGATTTCAGTGGCTAGAGAAAAACAATTGTCTATGTGTGTGTGCTTGTGTGTGCGTGTGTGTGCATTTGTTTACACATAGTTATTTTTGTCTAGTATACATACATACAGTGTGGATGGCTGAAATGTTCTATTTCGAATTCTGTTTTTTTAAATCAATGTAAACTTATTCTTCAGTCCATTGTCGCTCATAAAAATGGATTACATGTACAAAATTTAAATGCTTCTCTGTTGAAGCCTGAATTCTGCCTTTTTGCTGCAAACAATAATGGAAACAAATCTGTTGAAGCAACATGACATCCCTCAATTGATCAAGTAAGAGAGAGAACCACCAGGGAACTAGTATATGGTGGAATGATTATTTATATAGGTGTTGATGTTCTCTTTTGATAGGCATTCAGTTTTTATAGGTTTGAAATGTAATTTTAGTGTTTTATCAACTTACACCTTTTAAGATTTACAAAGGGACTGTGAAAGTACAGGCTCATTTGGATTTTGGAATACATCTCTATTGTGGAACAGTGATTTTGGATTTGTTTTGATGAAGGGCTGCAATAGGATCAGATTTACTGAATGAATGGCAGATTGCTCCACTTCTCAATGAAACTGTTAGCAACCAAAATAAATACCTTACATTGATTTCCAATTAGCAGGTTACTAAAACAACAGCCCCATATTTTGACAAAGGGTTTTCATTCTTATTTGGTTGCCTTCACTCTGTTGTTTATTTGTGCTTTAGACTACTTCAGGAATTGTTACACCAGAATAAATGTTTAGTAAAGTCAGCTCGGCTAACTTTACTGAACAGTTCTTCTGGAGTCATTGTTCCTGGATTTGCCTGAAGCAATGCCATTTTCTGACAAAGTCAGAATAATCACAGTAAGTCGCAAATGAAACGAAATAAAATTTCTACTTTATTATTACTATTATATTCTTTATCCTAATTCCTGAAGTAGATTGATTTTGCACCTCCCAATACTACAGATTTTCTTCCATTCCTTTCTAAAGTTCCAAAATCAGCATTGAGAAATATCATCACTTCTAAAGAAAATGTCTGAAATGGCACAGAGTTTCCTTCTTTTGGGGTGGGGGGGTTAGACTAAAAGACCTCCAAGGTCTCTTTCAACTCTGTTCTTCTGGGTATCTTAGATGTTCACCTCTAACTTCCAGAAACTGGAATCCACAAACTATATGTTGATTTTTCTTGCTTCAGAATAAAAAAATCAGAGGTTGTGGGAGCTTCATCACTGGAGGCTTTCAAGAAGAGACTGGACTGCCATCTGGCAGAAATGGTGTAGGGTCTCCTGCTTGGGTGTGTGTGGGGGAGTTGGACTAGATGACCTACAAGGTCCCCTCAAAATCTGTTAATCTGTTAAATATATTAAAATATATCAGACGATCAGAAGACTTTCAAAAAGTCTCAGAGAATGCTGCTTATAAATAATACGAAATCATGTTTGGAACTAGAGGTACTAACTCTGATTATTGCTAGGCTCACTTGTCTGTCTCCATCTTGTCTTCTTCCCTGTATATGACAATTCAGAATGTCTGACTTTGGCATATCAACAAGATATAAGTTGGCATTAGTATCAGAACAGCCAAATAATGGCAGTGTCTCCAGGTAGGCACAAACCATTATTTGGTTTTCAGATGTTGAAGAAAAACAGAGGTTGTACAAATGTTTGGTGTCCTACAGGAGAAGGTGTCATCCTTGGATTCATTCCCATAATACTAAAATATGGTATGAAAACAGCTATTTTGTTTCTATGGAAAATACAGAGTACTTACTAATTCATTTAGATTTTTCCCAGCAAGTGTTTTTGTGGTCAAAAATTAGTTCCCTATTCTCCCATTACTATAATCTCATAAAAATATCCCTTCAATTAAAGTATTGCAGATATGGAGTGGATAAATCAGATATCTATAAATATATCCTCATTGTAGTGCTGTTGAACAGTGATATATATCCTTTGTCCCAAACCAGGTGCCTTTTTATGCAGCCAATTCTTGAACCTTAAGAGGTTAAATACAACATTCAAGATAGGAAGGCCTTATCCTTGTTCCTGCTGGTGCACAGTGTATGAAAATGGGAAAGAAGAATCAAATTATTCATGTAGTATTGGAGGTGGAACAACACAGCCTCCTACTCATATGCTAACAGGAATCTGTAACACTTGAAATATCTTGACTCTTGCCCAATTTTTTTTCACACAGAACAGTGTTAACTTTAGACAAACGTTTCAAAGTAACATCAGCAAAGATCCTTTGATGTGTGAATATAAAGATTATTCTTATTCCCTTCGCATTTTCCTGCAATATGTATGTTGTACACCTGCACAACATACATACATTCCAAATAGGTATGCAACTGTGACTTTCAGCATTTGCTTCTCCAGCAAGTTCATAGGAAGTTGTGCTTTTGGCAGTCGGTCACATTCAACACTGACACTCTGTTAAAAGGATTTAGTCGGTATTTAAATAATCTGGAAATGCCCCCAAACCACATTATGGCCAACTGATGTTTCATTGGGCAGCCAGGTCCTTCAGATGCCAACAAGTGTTCATAGAGAAGTTGTGGCTGTCAATGAAGTCATTCAATATTTCTTGGAATCCCCATGAGAGGAACTGTGAGCAAGAGATGTTGGACAAGATGTTGTCTTTCAGAACATGCCTTGGATACTATTTTTAGACAGCTTGTCTACTGTCCCCAAGGATGCTGTTCTGAGGCTTGAATGAAGCACTCATTATGATTTTGATCTTCATTTCAGGATCTTCACATATTCTTCTTTTCCTTCCCTAAAACAGCAAAATAACCATTTTAAGGAAAATAACCAGCTACTGTGCTATTTTTTTTCTACGATGTTATTTTTCAGGTGGGAAACAGGCAATGATTTTTCGTAGGTTCAGAGTTGTAAGAGTAGTCTTAAAATGAACAATTTTACAATTTTCTGTTTATTTCTGCCTATTTAATTCTGGTCAATCTAACTTTCTTGCAATTTTGTAGCATTTCTGTCCTTGAAAACATTTTTAAAACCTGAGAAACATAGGCAGTACCACTACAAGCAGAAACACTTATGTTGAGTATGCAGGACAGAGATGCTTCTTAGATGCTGCCCACATAGCACATATAGCCACCATAGAAAGATACATTTGAGAAGTATTTTACATTTTTTTTTAATGTTTATGGGCATGAGCACTCTTATAACTCTACAAAAATAGAACAATGGTGCATCCCTTTGGCAATTTATTACAAAATGCCCTTTTTTCTTAAAACACTGTATTTATCCATCTTCCTCCAATACTTGATTTAAAAAGCCTATTCTGCTTGAAGGAAAATTTTCCATCTTATAAAAGTGCTACAACCATCTTGGGTTTATTGCATCCTGTAGAATCAGAAGGTAATGCTTGGGCTTTTAGGTGCTTTGAATTTCAAGGCAAAAAGAGAATTTTGAAATATACAGGAAGCATCTATCTGTGACTGATTTGTTACCAAGCTAATTTTTTCTTGAGATTGTGCTGCAGTTGAGCACTGTTGCATGATCCTGAAAAAAGGTGAATTGCGAATAGGTGATACTTGAGTGTCCTCATGCTCACACATTTTAGGTCTTGAAACACTAGACAGCTCCAATAACCAGGCCTGCTGCTTCACAAAAATAATCTGTACATTTTTTATTTCTTGTTTTGCAAAAACGCTCATCTGTATTCCATGTCCATCCTACATAGAATCATATGTGGTTAGAGCAGTGTCGAAATTGCATAATTATTATTGATAACATTGGATAATATCAGTATATTCTCCATTATATGGCGAAGGCCTGCATTTTTCTTTTCTGGAAAGTGAAGACAACAAAGAGACTTGTCAGCTATGTTGACGTATCTGGGGGGGGGGGAAGTCATGCAGAAAATGGGGTAGGTTTTGTTCAGGTTGTTCCAAGGACAGAATAGGAAGCAATGGGTTTTAAATACAAAGGATTTGTATTTGGTTAAACATCCTAATATCAAAAGCTATTTAACAGTGAAACAAGATTGTCTTGGCAGATGATGGATTCTTATCTGCTGGAGGTATGATGGCCATCTGCAGGAAAGTATATTGTAAGGGATTCCTCTATTGAAGAGGAGATTGGACAAGATAATCTACAAGATCCACTTCATAAGTGGTCCAATGTTCTATAATTCTGTGATTCAAAAGGCATATAAAGAGCATTCTGATGTACTTTGTATTTCTGGAAAGTTCATCAAAGCTTGTTTCTCTAAAACAAAGATAATTAGAAACGTAGGCATTCTTTTTGGTATACTTGTTGTTTTTCCTGAAATGAAGGAAAGAAATGTTCTCTCAGTAGGCTTCATAAATTTAACTGGTGAACATTTTCCAGACGAGATCAGTTGTATACTTTAGAAAAAATAAGCATGAGAATGAAACCCCTAGTTGTTCTTCTTTCTCTCTCTCTGAAGGATCCACAGTATACTGTATATCTGAAAATGATTAGAAGTCACCTCCCTGTAGTGATTTATGCATAACTCATGTGAGATCGTCATCAACAATCACATAAAACAGATATTGCATTTATCATTCAGCTAAAGAGATTATATGTGGATTTTTTATCTACCCATGGGATTCAGAAAATACTAATACCCTAGCAACTTTCAGAGATAATTTAGTGCCCTGTTGAGTTAGGATAATTGAATAATATGCCTTAATAACCATGTGTTTGCGATTAATATATTCTGATAAGCAACTTTCATGTGTTATGCCATCTTTTTGGGTTTAACTGTTCTTGGAATTAATTTACCTGAATAGTTCTGGACATATGGTTTTTTTGTAAGTAAGCAATAGCTTTGTCTTGAAGGGTTTCTAGATTTTTCGGAAGGAAAAAAATATAATTCAAACTGTGGTTCTATCTTGCTTGGGGTCTTTTTTCTAGATATTCAGACTGAGGAAGCCCTTTCTACCTGCTTTTGATGACATCTTCTGGCTGAAGAGAGAATCACTCTAATAACTACCTATATCTATGTCCTATTTAAGCTTCCAGCTTCTACATATGTAACTTCTCTCTGTTTCTGAATTGCTTTGCATGTCCAGCGTATTTATATTACTTTCTTCTTTATTAGATAAACTGTGTGACTTTTCCCCATCCTGACACAATGCCAGAACAGCAGTTGCTAAAACCTTCTGAATGGAGCTACTGTGATTATTTCTGGGTAAGTGAGCAACTTCCCATATGCTGTTTACTGCAGCAGTTGAGCTTTACAAAGGATGAGACATATTGCTAACATCTCTGATAGCAAACATGATAAAATCCAAGCCTAAAAGTTGATGCACATGACACTGAAAAAGTTTTTTTTTTTTTCTTTGCATATGAAATCCAGCAGAATCATTATACTCTTAAAACCAGAAGACTGGAATGAAGCAGAATCACTTCCTGGCCTTCCAGCCTGAAATGCTCTAAACAAGAGATGGGCATTTCAAGGCTGTAAAAAGTATTTCCCCACCTATCAGGCAGCAGATCACTCAGCAGATTCCTATTTTATGTCAATGGTTGGGGGGGAAACAATTATTCTTAGGAGGGAGGGAAGAAAAGGGGAAAGAGAAAAGGAGCCTTCCTTTCAAAAGTCACAGATTGAACACGTGTTATCTAGTAATGTTGAGCAGCATCTTTGAGTTCGCACAGCATAAATTCTCCCTCCTCAGTTTCCCGTGGTGTAAAACCAGTAATCTGAAAGTTGCTTTATATTGGGTAGTCAAAAGTCTTTTCTCACAAATGAAGCCAAATATACATATCCCAGGATAATGTTGCAGGATCTGGGTCGGTCACCAAGACCAGAGATTTTCTCTTTTGTACTTGTGCTGGAGCCCATCTTCAGGGCACTTCTCTCCAGCCCTAGAGAGAAGTTCGCTGAAGATGGGCTCCAGCATGCGTCTGAAAGCTCGGAAGACAAAATTTCTGGTCCTGGTAAACGTCCCAGATTGGATCCTGCAAAAGCCTTTTTGCTTCTTTGTTCTGTTTGTTCACCATATGACCCAGATAAGAGGGTGTGTGTGTGTGTGTGTGTGTGTGTGTTTATGTTTGAGAGACAGTGGTTCCATATAAGTGGATAATGATCTCCAGTCTGTAATCACTGTAGCCATAAAAATGTGTCTAGCCATATCTGAGCCTAACATTCCATTTAGATCTGAGAGTGTTTTATGTATCATTCAACTCATTTGCCTTATATCTTATTCACTAGAGATTGTTTCCAAAACAGCTATAGTAAGAAAAGAGTATGTGTGTAAATATGCATGATCATGCCTAAATGGTTGAATAAAATAATAAGTCTAGGTTGATACCTTTCTCAATCAAGTAACCAATTTCATGTTACCTTATAGCATCAAGAACTCTTAGTTGATTTTTGGTTGACGCAGAGACAGAGAAAGTGAAATTTACCAAATGCACTATGAATGGTGCACCTCCCTTCTCATTTGTTTTGAACTCCCAGATTAATGACCTATGAATGTCAATTTGTCTGAGCCTCATATTAGAAGCTTCACTATATTCAAACTGATGGTTTATACTCACTACTGACCACTAGGGGGACTATACAACCAGTTTTGTTCTTATTGCATTTCATCTGGCATAGATAACCTCATTAGGTAGGTTGGAGCTCAGTATGTTCAGCTCTTTACTGGGATTTGAACTTGCCCACCTGATGTGAGTTCACCACATGTTTCAAGTTTGTTTAATTTTTAATGCCAGGTTGTAAGCATTCTTGAACTTTTGAAAAGGGAAGGTGAAGATGTTTGTAATAATAAAAAAAGGTAGAATTTCCTGAAAGTTGCAAACTCCAAGAAGAAAGTAAAGAATATCTTGAATTGGAGACTGCGTTTAGAGAGACTTCTTGTTAATTTAAATTGGTTTGCCACTGCCTTTTTCCAGAATGTTCTTTCAACTTCCCAGTTAACCAGAGCCCTGAACTCCTCAGGGGAGTTCTTCAACCTGTACAACTCCGCCTCTCAACTCTGACGGTCCTTGGATGAAACCGATTATCTGGACTCCTTTCAGTCTGGATTCAGGCCTGGCTACAGCATGGAAACCGCTTTGGTCGCACTGACCGATGATCTCTGGAGAGCCAGGGATGGAGGCCACCCCTCCATCCTAGTGCTGCTCGACCTCTCAGCGGCCTTCGATACCATCAACCAGGGTATTCTTCTGCGACGTTTACGAGAGGTGGGGGTGGGAGGCACCGTTTTTTGGTGGCTCTCTTCCTACCTCTCGGACAGGTCACAGTCAGTGTTGGTCGGGGGGCAGAGGTCAACCCCTAGAACTATGGGGTTCTA